CACCCACGTCCTCGCTCACGCACCTACCGCGCCCGTACCGCCCCATGGCCCCGATTGAGGGCGGCGCCTCTACGAACCGCAAGCCGACGACGGCCCCCGCCGCCGGGCCCATCGGCACGCGCAAGAAGAGCATCCGCAAGAAGCCGAGAGGGCCCGCCCGCTTCGCCTGCCCGCTGGTTGGGTGCGGGAAGGCCTTCCGCATGCAGGGCGACCTGCAGACTCACATGAGGCTGCACACGGGCGAGGAGCCGTTCGAGTGCTCGTTCCCGTTCTGCGGGCGGCGGTACAAGTGGAGATCGAGCCTGTCGCATCACGAGGGCCTGCATTTGCGGAAGAAGGGAGTGCTCCCGCCGAGGCGTTCTCGCCGCGCTAAGAACGGCGACGATACGACGGCCGCCGGGCCTATCGCTATCGGAGAGGTGCCGCGTCACGCGGAGAGGGCGCCGCACATGGCGCCGAGGAGGCAATGAAGTGGGAGGGGATGGATTGGGAAAGGGAAGCGATGTATTTTGCCGTTGTCTATGTTGTGTATTTTTTTTTTTTTTCGTCAAGGAGGGGTGGTTGTAAAAAGTAACCAGGGTACGGGAGGGGGTAGTTGGCCAAGGGGTTGAGTGCGAGAAAGAGGTCATCGGACGTGTTGCTCGTACCTCATGCGGGCATGACGCGGGGAGAGCGGCCGCTGTTTTTTTGTTTTTGTAAAGCCTGACAGTTTCTGTGTGTTTTAATGAACATTTGACGTTGTAGGAAATCGGAAAGTGAATGGAGGAGCACCACACTGTGGCGTATGTCCTAAGCAAGAGAAGTGTGGCGACCGTAAGGCCCGGCACCTGGGAATCATGGAACCGGAAAAGTGACTGACTCATGAGATTTAGAGCGTGCCCGCATAAAGTTTAGAAAAGTGCCATGCCCTCAGTTTCCTTTTGCGAAGGGTTACAGTGGTGGCGAAGAGAGGTAAGCTCTCTAGAGAACTTCCGTAAAGTTTTCTGTAGTGATGGAGCTGATAAACCCTCTGTACGGTACCCTTCGAAGGGTACTGGCATCAACTGTGGTACGAACTAAGCCAGAACCGTACAGTAGTGTACTGTAGTACTGTACAAGATGCAACTCGCAGTGAAGGGTTTGGGGTTCTGGCGGCACATACATTCTTTTTGATAATGCAGAAGCAAGGACTGTGTGGTATGAGGCTGAACACCCCGGTGGTAAGGCTTTCCTGTGCTCATGAGTTGGGAGTTGGACAGGGATCCCGACAGGCGACGTTGTGCGGAACGGGCGTCGAATACAGTTGCGCGTGGTAGGGTGGATACGGGGCGTGCACGGCGAGCATGCGAGCGTTTCCGCGGACTACACGGCTGCTGTACTTGTATCTTGCGGGGCGTTCCTGACGTCGCGAGGGAACAAGGGCTTGTGTTGTGCGCTTGTTTTCTTATTTATTTATTTATTCCGATTGTGTGCCGTGCCGTTGCGCAGAGGCGGTCAGGCCGGGCTCCGGGCAGGCCGGGCTCGCACGTAACTCGTGTTCCGAAAGGGCGGGGTTCGCAGCAGGCGCGCCGGTGGTGGCGGGTGGCGTGGCGGCGGCAGCAATGCAAGGCGGCGCGGCGGGCGGCGGGCGGCGGACGGCGAGCTCGGGACGGAAACAGCGAGGCCGGCGGCTGTTTTTTTTTAACGGCGATTCATGCGGATCTACAGGCGGCTGCGAACAAGGGGCCCAGCCTGAGGGCGCGTATGTGCGCGCGCAACGCGGATGACGCAAGGGAGGACGATGCGCCATTGGGGGACGCTCATTGCCGCCAAAGGGTCGCGGAGGTTGTATGTATGTAGTACATTAGGCTACGTTCCTGGCGTTGAGTTTTTGGCGCCACTACCGTAAATTACTGCAGTGTACTGTAGTACCGTGACCGCCCGCCGGGCGTTTTCGCGACTTGCGCCCTGCGTCAGCACAGGCTTGCGGACGCCTATGATATGGGGGTATGATATGGTGAGCGGTGTGGTACCGTAAGATATTATCACGGAAATAGGCAGATGAGATATACCCTTGGTACTGTAGGAAAAATAAAGAGAATGTTGAAAATGTTTAGGCGGCAGAGAAAGGGCAGGGTTTTGGCGGTTTTGGCACTTTTCTGCAAAATAAGTGGACAAAGCAAGACAAGGTACAACGGTACAGTACGTGTACAGTCTTAATAGCGTTTCTGGCGGGAAGCCGTTGCCATTGGGCAAGGTTTGACTCTCCGGATTACAGTGCGATGGAGTACACTTTGGGAATTGTAAGGCGAGTAGTAGGGTACAGCGTAGGGAGGAAAAGGGTGCATTTCCCACGGATGTATGGGACCACAACGGAAGTTTAGGGTCCTTGTTGGAATGAGTGAAATTACAGGGCAGAAATAAGAATACAGTGCGCATGTGTAATTTCGGGTGGCAATTCCATCCTCACGCGGCCAGCACGGCAGAAGACGGGCGGGGAGGTGGTGCATGCCATGATTTGTCGAGAAGGTTTGATTTGAGGGCGGAAAAGTTGCAAAAAAGAGGAAAAAGCGGGCTAGCTTACAGAAGAGCGACACATGAGCTAGGGTTAGCACGGGAGGGGGAGGCGAGCGAGAGAGGCGAGCGAGAGAGGCGGCAGGCGCGCCTTCTGGGGTGGGCGCTGGAAGCCGGTGAAAGGTGCGCTCGCGGGCACGACTTATTTGCGCCGCCTGTTGGTGCCAACACCACCCGTGCCCGACCGCAGGGTGTAAAGGCTCCGCGACCTCCATCCTCCTTTACAGAGGCCGACACCCTCCTCTCCGCAATAAGCCGCGAGTACTGTCAGATTTCCCCGAGTAAGCACTCGCCCTCACCTCCCCTCCCGCCGCATCACACACGCTTCCCGCCGCCCCCTTTTCCCCCCCCCCCCTCAATGTCGAACCAAGACTCGCTCGCACCACCTGTCACACAGCAGGAGGCACAAGCCCGCGTCACCGCTCAAGCCTCTGCCGCCGCCGCCGCTGCCGCTGCAGTCGCCGCCGCAGACGCTTCCGCCCCAGACAAACACCAGGCGGATGAACACGACCAGCATGTCTCCACCACATTCCCGGTAGACCCGGATGACATCGCCCACCACCCGCCCGCCGCCGCCCCCATCGACGACCCGAAGAAGCAAGCTCCTGACCAGGAAGGACACCTCCCCGCGTCCGACCACCTCGATGTCCCGCATTCCCGCGCCCCCGCCATAGCCTCCCCGGCCCAGCATATGTCCGCCGTCAACGCCACCCACTCGCCCCCCCTCTCCCACGTCCCGAGTCTGCCCGGCGTCATCTCGCCCATCGCCAAGAGGGCCACCACCACCGCCCCTTTTGTGTGCGACGTCGTCGGCTGCGGGAAGGCTTTCGGCAAGAAGTTCAACCTCAAGGCCCACAAGAGGGTCCACACTGGCGAGGAGCCCTTCGTGTGTAGCTTTCCTACATGTGGGAAGACTTTCAAGTGGAAGTCGAGCCTTACTTTCCACGAGGGACTCCACCTCAACGCCGCCGAGGATCAGGCACCCCCGCAGGCCACCACGGCTGAGCTGGCCGGCGCCGTCGCTGCCGCTACGAACAAGAAGACCAACAAGGTCTGATGTCTTTGTCACGCCGAGCTTAGATTTTTTTTTTCCCTATCTTCCGTCGTGTCAACTCGCGGCCTGCTTCTGTAGCGCTTTTTTTCTTTCTACTGCACTGTGTACAGCGCTCTTTCTAGGTCGATTCGTCTTGGGGTTCTTTGCATGTCGGTCTTTGGGGACGAGGGCTGCCATCGGAACGTTGTGCTAGTTGCTTTCTTGGCTAAGTTAGGGTGCTTGTGTGTCTATGTGCATATGTGTAAAGTGGAAATGGCACCGGCTCTTTATTTACGCCGCGACAAATCCTCTGCATTCAATGGCCATTTGTGAAATGACGGGCGACCGTGCTAGAGGCCTCGCCCTCCTTTGGCTGAGCTGCCCTATCCTATCACGGCGGAACCACGCACTGGCGTTGTCGCCGTCTCTATCGGCTTCCTGCGCGTCCGACGTTTGTCTTTCTTTGGGAAACTTCCAGTTTCGATTTTGTGTCTTGTCCATCAGACCTTGGGAAAATTGACATAAAAATTCAACCCGCCTATCTTTTTCGTAAAAACCGCCCTATCCCGCTGCTTTCCAGCAATGTTCCTCAGATCCATTGGATCCATTCCCCTTTTGCTCCCACTTCGTCTTGAACATATCTTACCAAATTCTAGAGCGCTGCACCGCTGGGAATCGCCCTCCTGCACTTTTTCTTTTTCTGCAAGGTCTATCAAAAGTGCAACGCGTAGGCCACTCCCTCTTCCCTTTCGAACACCAATTCCCAGTTGCAGCGCCCCCCGCCATCCGCGCACAAACTCATCATGGCGGATGAAAATGCCACCGCTGGCATGGAAATCGACACCGGCGCCCCCGTCCAACCGGCTGCGTCCGACCCAGAGAACAAGCCGAAGCCCCGCTTCGAAATCAAGAAGTACAACGCCGTCGCCCTCTGGGCATGGGGTAAGTTACCTGCTGCGGCATCTAAACTCCTCCTTTCGTCACTTGGTGATGAAACGGACCATGGGATCTCATGAGGAGGTATCAAAAATCATCTTGCTAATCACGTGTACGTTCTTGCGAAACAGATATGGTCGTCGACAACTGCGCCATTTGCCGCAACCATATTATGGACGCGTGCATCGAATGCCAGGCTAATCAATCCGCGCCGCCGACGGAGGACTGCAACGTCGCGTGGGGCGTCTGCAACCATGCATTCCACTTTCACTGTATTTCGTAAGTCACAACGCGACCGGCGACGGCGTCCGCAACGGTTGAGCTGGTGTTGCCGAGCCAATCTAACTCTCGACTTTTTCTTCTGATGAATGATGATCATGAACAGGCGCTGGTTGAAAACACGTCAGGTATGCCCGCTAGATAATTCGGAATGGGAATTCCAGAAGTATGGTCGTTAGAAGCTTGTACATTTCAATATTTCTCGCACTTTACGCAGTCGGCGATCGGACCAGCACCGACTGCTGTACTATTTCTTTTCGTGACGATGAATTCCCTCCCTCTCGTCCGAAGGCGGAATCCATTTGCAGCCAGACGGCTACGAACGAGCGTGAGATGCGCATTTGCCTGGCAAGTTCATCAAAACACAAAAGAACATTTACACTTGCGCTAGTGCACCTGCGCGTTAAAGCTACTTGCGAAATCCCAGCTACTAACGAGATTCAGGGAAAGGCAGTCTACAGTCACACGTTGTTAGCAACGGACGATTGTCTCATGTAAAATTCCGCAACTTGTTCTGAGTTCGTCGCCTCGTCCGGCTTCTTGTCTTCGCGTAAACGGATAAACCGTGGGAATCGCAGTGCGATACCCTTTTCGGGATCCACGAGCCCTGTCGCTGCAGTGTGTTGAGGAGAAATCGACAGATCAGCACACTTGACCTCCCACACCTGCACAGGCTCAAACCAGACATCTGGTTCCAGCGTTTTCAATGCAGGCGTCCGATAATATGATTTCGCGCCTTCGCTCTTGTTCTCAGCCTCGGGGTCATTGAAAAACTTTGCAAAGTTATCAAGGGCTTCTTCTGAAAAGCCGGTGCCGATCTTACAGATTGACTGATACTCTTCTGTGTCAGGGTCGTAGCACGCCAGTAGGAACGCTCCGTATATACCTGCTCTTTTCCCGCGGCCAAGATAGCCTCCAATCGGCACCAAATCCAGAGAATCCCCGCAGCCTTCAAGGTAATCCTTCTTAACCTTGAGCCAATTTTGGCTGCGATTGTTAGGCTCGTAGGTAGAGTTGTCACCGTCCAGCGCCTTCACCATGAGACCCTCGCATCCTTCCTTGATGCTTCTATTCAGAAGGCTCATGATGTCCTCTGGATCTCTCGAATCTTCTCCCTTTGCAAACAAAAACTGCCCTTCTTGTTCCTGGAAACCATTTAATAACTTCTCTCTTCTTGACGTTAAGGATTCTCCAATAAGACTTTCTCCATTAAAGAACAGCAAGTCAAACGCAAAAATGCATACCTTCACAGTGACTTCATGGGCTTCAACGTCCTTCCTCTTTCTGCCTTGCAATTCCTGGAATGGAAGAATCTGCTTCTTCTGCACATCATACGCCACTGCTTCTGCGTCAATAATGAAAGATGCCCCCTTGTATTCAGTATGCAGTGCTTTTGGAAGGCTATCCACTAAATCTGGATACTTTGGAGTTAAATTCTCTGCATTTCGACTGTATATTCGGATGCTTCCATCTTCCAGGCGATGGACTTGCGCTCTCTCTCCGTCATACTTGAACTCACATGTGAATGAGGTTTCAGCAAAACGTTCCAGGACTTCTGATATTGCTTTTGTCGGTTTGGCAAGCATTGGTGAAACTGGAATGCCCGGCATAAGTTTGCACATAGCCTGCAGCCTGCTGTCAATGGTCTTTAGTTCCAGCAACTTCGGGATGATAACATCCCAAACTGGGCACTGACTGTAGACAGATCCAAGCACCTCAGCTGCCGCCCCGAGGGTTTCTTCAATGTCTTCTTCCTTCGACGTCATTTTGGTTTTCTTTTTGCCATCTGCAGTTAACAAAATGTCGGTTTTGACACCGAGTTCTTCAAGGGTCAAGGCCGCCGACAAGGCTGCGATAACAGTCTTGTCAGCAAGATGAATTCGGAGCTTGCCGAGCACAGCGCGAGAAACGTACTTTGCTTCTGTCGTTGAGGCAGCAACCAAAAGTTTGACAATTTTCCCACGCTTCGCATCCTGTGTGCTTTTCCCAGTAATGGCGGCTATTGCCTTGAATTCTTGAAACACTCTGCGAACAGTTAAAGGCGGGGGCGGAAACATAGTTTTCTGGTTCGTGCGGGCTGCCAACGCTACGTCGCCGAGGTCACCAACTTTCTTGTAAAGGGCTTTCAAGGCAGAGACTGTGCGCCCGCTGACCTGAGACAAGGCCTTCATTAGAATACTTTCCCCAATTCCAAGCTCGATGCCTTCATGTGCAGGGGCGAGTTTGTTGATGCAAAGGTAAATGGCGGGCACCAAATCTTCTGGTGTGGAGGCGATGATGTTTCGAAAGACCTCGGTAAGGATGGCCTGGATTTCAAGGCGGCCTGAGATTTCTTCAACTTTGCTGAAAGCATCGGACAGAAACTTGTAAGGTACCGGGTTTCCATCTTTCCAAGTCCTCGCTGTGTATAGCCGGGATGAGGAAAATTGATCCTTTTTACCAGACTTGGGACGTATGTCTTCAGAGTTGTCATCTTGTTCTACGTCGTCGGAACTCTGCCCATCTTCTGCAGAGTCTTGCGAAATGTCCACAACATCATCGTCACCTTCGTTTGCTTTTTCTGGCGACGAGCCTTTCTTCTCAGTCTCTGCTGCACGGGCAGTGGCATTGTTCATATCAACCGGTTCGTTCTTCGACCGCTTGACAGACTTTGAGGAGCCCTCCTCAAGTACCGCCTTGTCGGGGGCTTTCGATTTGTTGGAAACAGGACGTGGCCGTTTCTTTGTGTTTGGAGACTTGTCCTTGGAAGCGTCTTTCGGAGGTGCTTTAACTTTCTTGCCAGATAACGAGCCTCCGGGGCGGAAAAATGATGTGATTGTCCCCTGTTGTTTGCCCATGGTGAGAGCAGTACGCCTATCGTCTGTGGGGAGATAAGCGTCGCGGCAATAGAGTGAAGAAAAACACACTCTCTCTTACGGCGGGCTAGAAAAAGGACGCCGTGTGTTAGCTTTGCCTGCTGGATACGAGGTTGCGAGCAAGAGCAGTGGCGGTGCCATTTCGGGCAGCGTCACTGCTGTAGAGACAAAAAATATTTGTTTTTTTAAAGGTGATCTCTCAAGATGAGGATTCTATCCAATTAAGCTGAAGTGTGGCATTTGGCCAGCCGTTTACGCGGGAGCGAGCGTGTACTCGTCTGGCCGTTCTCCCATATTTGGCGCCAATTGCACTACTCGCCTGTCCTCCCAGGCTTCAAGACTGGGCAGAAGTACATCATGTTCTTGTAACGTAGCCTATCGACTTCCAGTACATCTCGTTACGCTCACGTACCGTACAGAAAGCGTGCTTACGCCTTCCAGAGAACACGCGCTGCTGAAAAGGAAAACGGTACACGGAGCATTCATGTCACAGTTGGCAAAACGTCCCGGTCGAACACCTCCCCCACCTCATTACCTTGCAGAAACGTGGTTATCGAGTTGAGCACCTCTGGAGTATACAGCAGCAAGTTATGCGACATAGCAACCTTCAAACGAAAGTGCTTCCTATTCAATATCGTCTCCTCCACCCCCACAACACCATCGGACTCTCCCCCAATTAGCGGATTCAAGTTTCCCCGCGACCCGCAAATGACGAGCACCTCCACCTCCTCCGGAATCGTCCCAAGCGTTTTCTTAAACCAGTCTGGCTCCTTCATCATCAGCTGCGCCCCAGAATGCTCCCCGAGCACCGTCCTCGCTGTCATATGCACCGCGTTCCTCACCATGTCGGGACCACTCAGGTTTTTCGTCTGAAACGCTCGTGCGAATGACGCACCGCACAGCGGAGGTCCGATCATGACACACCGCGTTTTCCTTGCGTCATCACCGAGGACGTCCAGCAGTCCTCTGCGAAACGCGTTGTGAAGCACAACACCGCCAAAGGAGTGCGTCACAAAGTGGACAGTTTGCTTTTTGCGCCCCAGCCTTGACTTGACGGTGTCCACCAACGAAAGCGAATGTCCGTTCAACGTGTCTGCACGACTTTTGTAGCCAAAGTTGAGCACGTCGAATTGTTGCGCTAGCGACGCCGCGATTGGTAGCAATTGGACACGCCCTCCTAGAAAGCCGTGGGCCAGGACGACTAGCTCTTTGCCTAGCGAAGGACTGGAGCTGAACGCAGACCACCGTAATATTCTTGACATTTTTGACGAGGGATTGATCACCGCTCAACGAATTGCAATACAATCAAGTATGGTCACGACATGCGCAGAAGATGGCGATGTAGCATGGTTAGTCTCGCAATTCTTCTATCTTTCACTTCATGAGCGGAGTATGAATAAGGACGATTCCGCCCTCAGCAGGGCTTTAGCGAGAGCTGTTAAGGTTGCGGGAAATCTTGGGAATCTCGCACAACTTCCAAAATGGGTTGCGGTGCGGTGCTTCGTACAATATGGAACGGGTCGCCTGCACATTTCGCCCTGATTTATAGGGCCCATTCTAACGGTAACAGTATGGATCTAGTTGTAGCTTTACGTACGTCTTACAGTGCTAGGTTGTTTACAGTCAGCAATGCAAGGACGGAGTGATCATTAGTCCTTCTACACGGCTGTGCAAATCTTGTCCTTTCGACGTCGTCGCATCCTCCGTTCAAGCAGCCTCGCCGTGCCATGAAAGCTCAACATCAAATAAAGTTTGGAAGGAAGCGCAGTGGCACCCCACGGGAGAAGAATGACGCCAAGGTAGCGCGAAACGTTGATTCGGTTGACGTAACTGGCGCGCAAGTCGTGGTCGGTGAGCGAGAGCTGAAATTTGCTCGCGCGCTGTCGGACACGGAAAAGGAGGTGCGTGATGCATCCCTGGAATCCCTCCGAACATGGCTATCCGAAAACACACAGTCGCTCGCGGATACAGAGATAGACAGGCTGTGGAAGGCTCTCTTCTACTGCGTGTGGATGGCAGACAAGAGACCGGTGATCACGGCTACTATTGCTTCCGTGGTTGACCTTGCTGATATCGTTGGGACGAAATTCTTGGAAGGCCTTTTTAGATGCCTTGTCAGAGAGTGGTTTGGGATAGACAAACATCGCGTTGACAAGTACTACGAGCTCATAAACGTCGCGCTGGTGAAGAGCACAGAAGGGCTTGTAGCGGCAGACACAGATGAAAAGTTTCTGGAAGAGACTGCAGTCCTTCTGAAAATGCTTGATGAAGCAGTCTGGAGTCGTGTCCCAAAAGCTGGGCTTGGTGTGGCGTTGCACGTTTTGGATGTATATCGGGACAAGGTCATGCGCCCGGTATTGATACGAGCCGCCAAACTTTCTGGGAATGAAGTGCACAAAGTTTTCGACTCCTTGCTTGAACAATTGTACGCCAAGATGGGATCTTCCGGAGAACATTCTGTAGCAGTTGGGAATCGTATTCAGGAGAGAGTGTTTAAAGGTCTCATTCCGTTCGTCGGGGACAAGGACGTGCTCCTTACGCCCAAAGACCGACGCGATATGATGATGAGAGCATCGAAGCGTATTTTCGCTATCGCTGCGGACAAGAAGACATCAGATGAGCTTCGGAAAGATTTATACGCCGTGCGTGCGGAACTCAAAACTTATGTCACACTGTACGACGAAGCTAAAGAGGCTGGACGGTCTAACGGGAAAACGAATGGCCGGAACAAGAAGGATAAGTCTGGCAGGCGCTCAAAGGCTAGAAAGGCAGACAAGTAGCGGTGAAGCTGCGGGAGATGAGAACGGTAAGCGGGAGAGGGACGAATGTTCTGGCAGCGGTGAGGTCGCATTTTGACGTTTTGAGGACAGGTAGGTTATCTGGCGTGTGCCGTAATTGGGGATGAAAGTAGAACTTCTCGTTTGACAAAATCGCCCTACCTGGATTTCAGGACATCCTGCACTTACCACTGAAGCATTTGTCGATGATTAGATACCGGTACTGGCGCCTTACGCGACGTCCAAAGATATCGTTGTTGTATAAATACGTTTTGAGCTGCTACGTTATCCTCGAATCCCTGGTGAATTGCCTTTTAACCCCGATTCTTTCAAGGGGTGTAGTAATGAGAGGCGTGCGCACATTCCAAGGCTAACTTTCGGTGTTTTATTGTTAGTAATTCGTGCTGTTAGTCATCAACTGAATAAGATACCGTCGCTGATACTTTCGCTCGTGCGCTCACATAGCTGGTTTCAGAGTGCACTCGAAATGCGAATCCACCACGAGAGCTTTTCAGCTCTACTTTCTTGCACCAGTCCGACCCCAACGTGGCAATTGCATTGAGCTGTCTATCTAAATCTTCCTTGGACCATTTCTTTGGGTGCAGCTTTTCAACTTTTCCAATCAGCTGCCTCCACCCTACAGCACTTCTTCGTTCTGTTCTCAAAATTGAGCAAACAGTGTCCATCGTCACCGGAAGCTTCGATAATAAAGTGCGGTTGGTAGCTTTCTCAGTTTCCATTTTCACCGCGTGGACTTTTTGTGCTTCTGAGCGGGCTCGAACCTTTTGGAGAAGACCCGCTGGGATGCAGTCATCAATATCATGACTCTCGATGCGCTCCTCAGCTTTGCTAGCGTCAGCGCTAACGTCGATCTTCGCCGCCAATAGTTTCGATTTCTTCTCCGCGTCAGGCTGAACCAGCAGAGAGATAGGCTTAGGACGAGAAGGAGAAACAGTCTCAACTGAATACAGAGGAGGGGCAGGAAGCTCTTTCACATGGACCTCCAGGTCAAAATCTTCATGCCAAAGGTCTCCTTCATGTCGCGAAATCGATCGCTTTCTGAGAAATTTGCCATGTTCTTCCTTGACTTGTGCAAGTAATCGCTTGTGAAGCAAAGACCTGCGGATCCGTGCAGCAGAATCTCCTATAACAGAACTACCAGTATTCTTTCCAGTAACTGGTGATGCCCCCCCGTCGCCGTCAGCGTCTACACTATCCAACCTGATAAGAAATGAATCAAGTCTTGCTCTTTTCTTTGTAGGAGATGATGTGCCAGGAACTACAGCAATGGCCTCTGGAATGAGATGAGCAAGTTGGGATAATATTTTCGGAGTGAAGTTTCTCTTCGTGCTCCTCTGAACGATCTCTCTGACAGCCGCGACAGTCGGCATCGTCCTTCTCGTCTTCAGGAGAGCAACTGCGCTCTCAAGACCAATCAAAACATCGAGCAGCAGAAGATGTGATTGCGGGAGCATGTCTCGACTGTACAGAATCGCTTCGCCGCCCGAGACCGAGGAACCTGCGCGAACTTGTATCGCCCTCGAACTTTCTCTGAGGTGGATGCATGTCGAAGGTGAGGCCGCGTCCTTTTTGGATGGAGAGGAAACCACGTCGGCAGCAAACCTGACTTGCTTCAATCCCTTCTTCTTTCGAGGCTTCGCCTGCTGTGGCGGGGGCAACTGCAGGCGATGGGAACCAACGTCAGGCCGCTTGGTGTCGATGTGAGGCGCGAGAAAAACAAAGGCTGGAGCACCTTGAGTGCGAATTTTGCGAGCCTCGCGATCCTTCTCGAGAATTTCTGCAAGTCTCCACCTCCGTTTCTGTGCCAGGACGGCGGGCTTCGCAGGCGCCGGAGGTTCCTTCGCAGCCGGGATTTCAGAAGGCGCACCTGTAGCATCCGTTTTCCGACGCTTGAGCATAGGTGGGATGCCGTCATGGAAGGTTCGCGGTTTCGTGATTCGCTCGCCAAGCATGGCGGAGATGTTCTGTTGCTGCATGCCCTCACTTGGAAGCACCGAGGTCTTCCGTTTGTGGTTCCTCGCTGGACCCATGATGGGGGCGAAAGGGCGCCTGCTTGCGAAAAGGAATGAGCTCCGCGAGGGTTGACCCGTCGCGAAGCGAATAGGGCGTTAGGTTTTCGGGATGCCGGTGGGCAGCGCGAGGCTGAAGCCGTTGCTTCTGCGTACCCACAATGAGATGATGAGGTAGAGATGCGAGTGACAGGCGGATGGTAAGTGGGGAGTGGGGGGGGGGGGGGGGGGGGTGCGTGAACAGCCCGTGGCCGTTAAAAGAAGTAGATAGAGATCTCAAGGATCAAGAGAGGATGCGTAGATGGTAGGGGGGAGTATTACTTGTCGTAGGCTAGGCAACAGGGATGGAGTGCATGGTGCCATCTCATGAGACAATGAGTAGTAGTGGCTCGAAGGATTTCCCGCCAGAGTCACTCTTCCTTAATTTAGCATACAAATCGATGCGGTGGAGTATTACCATGGCTCTCATTTCCCGCCAAAACAATTGAGCGTGAAGATCGGCTTATAGTAAACACTAGAACTGTAAGCTCAGGCCCCAAAATAAGATCAACGTGTACACGTGTTCAATGCAATACTGAGGACTTTGTTCTGTGCACCACGCGCAGATATATAATTGGGCATGGCATTATACTGGGTAACCTCTTTTCTTACGGTGCATAGTGCAGAGTACCAAGGGTACGGTACGCAGTAGCAGCAGTAGGGAGCATATCTACAGTAGAATGATAAAGATATTACCACACCAGTACCCGTTGGCATCATCTGTGCTTTGCGAGATTCAAAGAGACCTTGCTGTACAGAATACAACAATCTTCTCATAAGTAGCGAAACTTCCAGCACGTCACGTCAAGTCGCTAATTTTCGATTTATTTCCTCATCAGTCAATATTCTCTGATCAAAAGAAGCCGAACCTTGGACTGGCTTGCTCGACTAGCATCCTGAGCAGCGTTTCACTATCGGATCAACGTAGCCACCTCACGCCCAAGCCAAAGGGTATCTCCGCAGGAACCTTTCAGTGCGACGCGTGAGAACCGTGGTGGAGTAGGTTTGAGTGACTCAGCTACGGCGTCGCGTTCTTGCCGCCATGGCAACTGACGCAGTTGAACGCAAATCTGCAGATCAACCCGCTCAGACTGCATCGCCAAGTGCTGAAGAGAATTCTCAAGTTTTATTTACTAGGCCTCAGAGAGAGCTCTTGCTTCGCACCCTCATACTTGGCCTCATATGTCTCGTTTCTTTCTCCATTCGTCTTTTTTCTGTTTTGCGCTTTGAAAGCATTATCCATGAGTTCGACCCGTGGTTCAACTTTCGCAGTACTAGGTACGCACCCCCCTCAATTAGTGCAATGCTTCGGATCTTTTGCTCACAGAATTTCTGAAAAACTAACTGTGAACGGCATTTTGCAATGTTGCGATCGGGCAGGGTGCTTGTCGGAGAAGGTTCGTACAAGTTTTGGAACTGGTTCGATTCGCGATCTTGGTACCCCTTGGGCAGAATCGTTGGCGGTACGGTTTATCCAGGAATCATGTACACCGCTGCCTTCATGTACAATGTTCTGCACTTTGTGGGCCTCAAAGTCAACATCCGCGATGTTTGCGTTCTCACTGCGCCCGTATTTTCCGCTTTCACTGCGCTTTCCGCTTATGCCTTGACTAAGGAAGCCTCTGACGATGCGGCTGGTATTGTCGCGGCTGCAATTATGGCTATTGTCCCTGGTTACATCTCCCGTTCTGTGGCTGGTTCGTATGACAATGAGGGTGTCGCCATCACTGCTATGATCTTCTGCTTTTATCTATGGACCAAGTCCGTGAATACCGGTTCCCTGTTCTGGTCGGGTCTCACGACACTTTCGTATCTTTACATGGTCGCTTGCTGGGGAGGTTACATTTTCTTGATCAATCTCATCCCTATTTACGTCCTCGTCATGCTGTTCTCCGGTCGCTATTCGCATCGTCTTTATGTTGCATACAACACGTTTTACGTTCTTGGCACGCTCCTATCAATGCAAATTCGGTTTGTCGGTTTCAACGCGGTCACCACGTCAGAGCATCTTGGGGCGTTCGGAACATTCGGGCTGCTCAATCTCTACTGTGTTAAGAACTGGGTGCAAAGCTTCACAGGGCCCCGGGTTTTTAAGGCCTTTGTGCGGTGGCTTGTTTTCCTCGCCATGAGTCTTACGGGATCGATAGTCGTTCTTGCGTTCGTAACTGGAAATGGTGGCGGTATGACTGGGCGCATTAGAACATTTCTTGATCCGACCTATGCGTCGAAGCACATTCCTATCATTGCCTCAGTCTCAGAGCATCAGCCGACATCGTGGGGTTCATACTTCTTTGACCTTCATATTACCGTCTATCTTATGCCAATCGGTCTCTACTTCTGCTTCAAGAAACTCACAGATGGGAACATGTTTCTAATCACATATGGCACATTTGCTATCTACTTCTCTGGCGTTATGATCAGGATTATGTTAGTTCTCGCTCCAGCAGCTTCGATGCTGAGCGCGATTGGAATCTCTGAAACTTTGAAATTCGCGATGCGATCACTTCAGGCAGACGATGACGACGAAGACCTCTCCATGAGGGTCGCCAATCCCTCAGCTGAAGAAGCGAAGTCCCAACAGTCCGGTGTAGGGGAAAAGCAGGGGACAAAGAAGACTGGAAAGAAGTCGAAATCCAAAAGCAAGTCTGGAAAAGATAAACTTAGAGAGGAGGAATGGCGAACCGCACAGGGAAGATCCAACGAAGCACCCCAACAACCAGCGCCTGCGGAAACGACTTCGAATCAAAAGGCTGTAATCGCGAAGCCAGTGGCTTTTTGCCTGTGCGTTGGTGCATGCGTCCTCTTGTTTCAGTACGTAAGGCACGCAATATGGGCCACATCTGAAGCGTATAGCAGCCCGTCTATTGTGCTCAGTGCTAAAGGAAGGGACGGGGAGCGCATCTTCTTTGACGACTATAGAGCCGGATACTACTGGCTGCGGCAGAATACGCCTGACGACGCTAAGATTATGTCTTGGTGGGATTATGGTTATCAGATATCAGGAATGGGGAACCGCACAGTTATTGTTGATAACAACACATGGAACAACACCCATATCGCAACCGTTGGAAAGGCCATGAACTCACCGGAGGACGTATCGTACAAGATTGCGAGAAAACTTGATGTGGACTATGTTTTGGTGGTTTTCGGCGGCGTCGTGGGGTACAGCAGTGATGACATCAATAAGTTCTTATGGATGGTGCGTATTTCAGCATCTGTGGACAAATCCGTTAACGAAAAGGACTACATGACATCATACGGCGGGTACACGGTTGATGACAGCGCAGGAAAGGCGCTGACAAATTCCCTCATGTACAAAATGTGCTATTATCGTTTCGGGGATATGGCTAGGGATCCTCGCGGGGCTTTCGACCGTGTGCGTCAAACCGTAGTGAAAGACGCATCCTCTATCAAACTGAAATATTTTGAAGAGGCGTTCACGAGCGAAAATTGGATCGTTCGAATTTACAGAGTTAAAAAGCCAAATGCTCGAGGGTGGGTGTAAAAATCGTACCTCAATGATTGACATCTAACAAACCAATTTGCACCGTAACATAGATGACAAGGTGGTATGCACAAGTATCCTGAAACAGTTAATACAGGAATCCACGGCTGAATGCTCTGTCCGTAGTCGTGGTTGAGTTTAAGTTGTGCACTAATGTATTCGCTTCCCTAGACACCTAAAGCGAAAATTAGTGCTTTAATGATACGTATCAGTCTGCGTGACGCCGCCAAAGCTTCCTCCAGGAACGCAAACGCTTTCCTCGCACGTGGAAGCTCATTCGTTTTGAGAGCTGACGACGAAGACGGCCTGTATCAGCTCCTGATTCTTGGGTTTCATCTTTGTCAGCGTTGATTCGATCGGGCATGCGGGGTGAGGCGGAAGGGGCAGTAACAAGCTCCTCGCCAGTAGCAGGGGTGAGAGCAGGAAGGGTGGGTACTGGCTTGGAGTCGAGAACCATCTTGTCAGTTTCATCTAGTAGAGATTCGGCAGCGTCCTTGTCGTTACGAATAGGCTTGAGATCTGCCGGAACAGTACGTGGGCTTTGTGGAGCGGATGCTGAAACGGAGGTACCCAATTCGGATTCAATGTCAGAGAGCAACGACTTGGACGAGGAGGAGGGGGTAATCCTGATTCTGAGATTCTTTGCAGAGTGGGAGCGTGACACACGTCGAGAGTTTGGCAAGCGAGCTCGTTCGGACAGATTGCTCTGCTGGCGATCTGCTGACAGCCTCCGGAGCTCTGTGGCAGCAGGTTTCGGTGGAGATGCAACTGCCGGGGGTCCTAGGGCGGGTGGAAGCACGTCGTGTAAGGAGACGAATGAGGGGCGGCGGCGAGGGGAAAGACCAGGAGCGGGGGCCGGTGAACGGCGACGGCGGGCTTCGTCAGACCAGAGCTGAAGCTGACGGGCGTGCTGCTTCGCGCGGTCGGCGTCTGACGTAGGACGCCTTGATAGGTCGTCTATGTCGGAGTCGATATCGGAGTCGGAGCAGTCAAAGGAAACGGGTGTGGAAGCCTCGGTGAAATAATGCAAACGTTCAGCCATTGTCAACGCGCCGAGGGGCTGGGTGAGTTGTGGAGTGAAAGACAGTGGGAAGTTGAGGGAGCCCGTAGACGTCCAGACCGGGGTTTAGGGGCGGGCTATAAGTGGATAAGGAAGGAGGGAGGGTGAGGA